ACGACTACCAGTTTGATTAACTATTAATTTACCGACTTGTAAGTTGCAGGCTTATTTGTCTAATATCAGGTTAAGCTAAATTGTGTCGTTATTAATAGACAGAAGGAAATTGGAGGGTATGTGTATTCGAGATCGGGTTAGGAGGTCGATCGGATGCGCGAAGTCGTAGAGAGGTTTTTTTTTCGTTTCTTTTATTTGTTTATTTTTTTTTTCTGTGGCCGATTGGTTGGTTGAAGCACATATTTAAGGTGTTTGACGTGTCGGGCCAAGTCCAACAAGGATGTTCCATGATTTTCAACAATGTTGTTGCGGAAGAAAGAAAGGTTGATTGAGGAAAAATTGACTAGCTCATTTACAAACATACTTTATGATTTAAAAAATATTGTACAAAAGATGGCGATCTCGAAGAAAATTTGACTCACTTATATATTTACAGTGAAATATCCTAATAAAACTTCATACCAATAAATAAATCGTCCACTTTATAACATAAATTACTTTATTAATTTCACTTGAAGTGCTCTTAATTTGGAGTGATTGCTTGTGTCTAATGTTGGTGGCTCGGGTTGTTTTCCCTTAGTTAGTACAGATTTCTGGTTTCTTTAGAAAATCCGTTTTTACATGATGAACCTGACTTGTGGATAATGTCGGATTACCCCTTCTAAGCCCGTGACCATTGTTTAGGATTGGGTCATTCGGTCCTCTCTAATTAAAATCATATTCATATTATTTTGTTGCTCCTTCTTTGGACTTGGTTATGGATCGTGCTTAATTTATGTAAAGTGTCAGAGCATTTTGACAGCTTTTGATGTGTTATATACTTATATTTACAGGTGATTGATAACGTTCAGAAGGAGCCGTTCTCGTACCATCCTTTCTGATATAGCTTTTTATCAAGTTCTTTTAATCAAAATTAGTAAATCTTTAGTCAGCTGATATATTATGTAGGTACATTTGGGAAGATATAATTGTACCTCTCTCTCCAAATTATAAAATGACTTATTGCATTTTGTTTATCCATCATTAATTACTCTTTATTTTTTTTTTTAAGGAATCAACACTATTTATTCTATTTTGCTTAAATTTGAACTTGATATATAATTAATAATTACTTAATATTACTTAAGTAAGAAGACTCAAAATTTTTAGCTAATAATTACAACATTGATGTTACAAATGTCATTTATGTTGTGGTGTTAATATTTCACGTGAATATACAAGTTCCCATGAAAATGACTTTAAATTATATTTATGATTAATAGTTAATCTACTTTTTTAAAAATTTAAAAGAATATAAAAATCGTTGGACTATATAACTTTTTTCTTTTCTTCTCATTCTCAAGATTGATCATGTTGGAACTAAGGAAATAATAAAAAGAAAATTGTAAAATACTATATATTTCATCTCACCTTTTTATCTAGAAGTAACACAATTAAAACATAATAAATCTATATTATTTTATACTTCTTAATAATATTATTATTAATTACTAACAATTTTCATTTGTTGATCACTACATTTTTATCTTGTATTCATTCACAATTTCAAATTTATCTCACTTTTTTTATCTCTATTTTCAGACGCGACAAGATTTATATATATATATATATATAATCAACCTATAATTTCATTTTATTCGTGCGGTTAGTTACAAAAACAACTTAGGCCCCCACTCATTCAAATTTCTATATCTGCCCCTGGGTCCAGAGGCCTTGAACATCATAAAAAAAATACATCAAAAATTAGATAAAAGCTCTGTATACATCCAGTTATAGTCTTTCTTCCTCTTTACATTTCTTGTTCTTTAAGCTTTCTAAAGGCTTTGTATAGAAAAGAGGTCTGGGAGCTGCCCATTGTTTTAATAAATAATTGCTGGTGCAAGAGCCTTAATTCGTCAACAAATACAAGCCATAAAAAATTGCCATCGGATTATTTTCTTATGGAGACATCCACCACTTAATGTATTGATACATGTCCAAAGTATATTTATTACAGGACACGTGTCAATACACTATTGATGAATAAGTGTAGATTGCCCCATAAACCGAGCCATCTGATGCCTTCATAACAAAATTGGACAACCCATATATTCGTCTTTGTTTTCGCTGAATTAACATCAAAATCCACCCTAAAAAAATTAAAAGCACCACATTAACTACAAGGCCATTGGCTCGGTAGCCCCGCTATCGCAAACACACATCAACATTTTAATTTATGAATAAATATATAATATATATGATTATATAAAAGTAAAATAAGAGCTTTTAAACTATTTATAAATGCATGTTATTTAGCTTTATTTTTATATAATTATTTAATATATCTAATTAAAATATGGATAATAAATAAAAATAAAATTATACTTTTCATAATTTTTTTAAAATTTATTTTTTTAAAAAAAATTATTTACTATAATTTAATCTTGATCTATGGTATATATTATATATTTATTTTTTAATGTCATTTGTTAATTTTTTTTGTAAAAAATTGAATCTTCAAGATATGAGAATGAGAAAGTCGTGCATTAAATATGAAATGGCTAATTCGATGGAGATTATTTGCAATTTCCATGGGAACGGTCATTCCTGTCTAAAGAATATATCAATTATATGATTAAGAATGATTAGGAGTGATTATTCCATGTCATGTCATTCCATCATACTAATCATATCATTGATGTATTATGGAATTATTTGTTATGCATCTGAATACTCACGGTATTAATCAGATGAGCTATATAAAAAAATATGGCGTATGAAACCCCTATATGAAACACATTAAAATCATTGGTTTATGTCATATTAATCCAAATATTTTTTATATTATAAGATGATCTGTAGGTCTATTTATTTATTTTGTTATTCAATTTGAAACATTTAAATATTATTTATAAATCTAATTTCAAAATTGATAAAAGTTAATATAGTTAACATATATATAAGAAATAGGAATAATAAAGTAATTTTATGGTAATTTCTAATTTTAATTGTCGAGATCTGCTTCTTTTTTCTACCTTTNTTTTTCTTTAAACAGACGGATACTTTATAGAGAGTGAGAGAGAAGAGAGAGGCGACAGATTTCAATATAGCTAGGAAACAGCTTTGTAGGAAATTGTTTTGTCTATACTCTACTACTGAGAAAAAGCCGTGTTGAGCAAAATTGCTGCTACTATTTATTAGTGCTTAGGAAACCTATCTCTAATAAAAATTGGACATCTGAATATTGGGCAAGAATATTTGGACAACAAAACAGAGAATTCGAAATCGTACTGGCCGACTTTCCATTGTCAATCCGACTGCCGCCGTCGTCTCCACCTTCGCCGAGAGAAGTTGAAGCGAAGGACATTGCAGACGGCGAAAAGCAGGCCACCGTTTGTGCCCAAAACAACCTCCTCTCCCTTCCCGATGATCTGCTCTTGAAGATCCTATTGAACCTCTCTGCTCAAGACATTTATTACATGGCAAGTCGTGTCTGCCGGAGGCTGTACTACCGCACAATCCGATCCGAAGAATTCGTGAACCGCCACCTCCGGCAAACTGCCGAATACGGCCTCTTATTCCTATTCATTAATGTTGATCAACATTCCTCCCAACGCAATGTTTTCGTGTCTATGAAACAGGGACGTGTCACAGTATCCGATTACTACTATGCTTACAAATCTAGATCCCGGAGTAGCTGCAACGGCCTCGTCCCGGAGTACAATTCTTTTGTACCCTCGTCTGGGGTCCTCGTGGTCAACCCCGTCATGGGACGAGCCTTTCGACTCCCTCCGCTCCCCGAAAATGCACAGGTTATGCGTTGTTGCGTGGGATACGCGCAGGCCTCCAAGGCTTACAAGGTGGCCTTGGCATACTGTGATGGGGGAAGGAACCCTCAGGCACGGTGGGCCGTGTTGACCGTGGGCCTCGACAGGTCGTGGAGGCATCTCGCAACTGACCATTTGACTGATCAGTCTACCATCGACCAAGTGGTGGTCACGGAGGGTTTCATTCATTCGATTTCTGGGGACGCTGTCGTGACGCTGAATGTGGAGACAGAGGTGATGACGGAGGTGTGGGCCCCAATCCCCAAGTATCCTCCTAGGTGGTACCTGTCAACAGGGAAGTCCCTCACTGTAGTGGTTGAAGTTGAGGATGGCGTGTTTCGAGTTTGGGAGATGGTGTCGGGGGATTATTGTTATTATTGGAGCGAATGCGAACATCAGATTGTTGTGTTGGGAAGTGAAATTCAAAATTTGAGCAGTATTCAGCCGGTCGGTTGGTTGCAGCAGATGGAGGTATTGGTGTTTAAAGGATTGTCCGAAAATATGCTTGCCGATGTTTTCTACGTGGTTATTGCTACTGAGGAAATCGGATGGATCAACCCCATATCAAGTAACAAGGAATGGTTGGTTGGGGAATCTCGTACAGTTCTTGGTCCAGTTTTTCCTCACAAGAACACCCTTGTGCAGTTGGAGGGGTATTAAAATTTAAACCCATTTACTGTCATTCTCATTTCTTGTTTATTTTGGTAGGATGGGATTCCTTTAAACATAGTTTTTCTTTAAAAATAAAATAAAATTAAGGTGATGGGTCTTTTGTTTTATTTATTCTCTCTACACATACAATGGTGTTTGATTAGTTGGTTTACGTGTCTGGAAGACGGCTACCAGTTTGATTAACTATTTAACTATTTAGTTATTGACTTGTAAGTTGCAGGCTTATTTGTCTTAACATAATTAGACAATGCATTTAAGCTAAATTGTATCGTGAGTAACAGGAGGAAGTTGGAGGGAATGTAGATTGCCTTGGTAGGTTGGAGACGGAGGTTATGACCGAGACGCGGTCCCCAGTATTCCCCGAGTATCCTCGCAAGTTCATCAACTGGTGGTACCTGTCAAC